TTACGTAGCTGGTATTTCACACCTGAAGCATCCCGTATAATTACCTACATGAATTGATTAAGGCGAGAGTTTTAGATGTCTGATTGAAAACTCACAGGGTCCCCTATCCATCTGCGTAAGACGACTCGAAGGCACAGGCCATCTTCTTTTTCTTCTCAGTCAATATAAAGATCCTACCCCGCCTGTTCACGACTTTTAGCAGGATTTTGCCGTGGGTGCATAGCCGTCTTGCATCGCTGCTCGAGATGTGAGAGATAACTGGTGTAGTTTGGGTGTGGGAAAGTGCTGGTGTTGCTCGAATTGAGCCAGGGCTCCTTTTGCACTCCCCTTCCTAAGAGCATACCAGCCACCATTCACACCACTCTTCGAAAACTTGCTGCAACTAATCAGGTTTTGCCCTTTCTCCAAAATCAGAGGCAGTGTAAAACTGTTTCTGCGTTGAATTCATGGCATGCGACCTTTGACCAAGCTCGCATGCCATGCAATGAAGTGATCATGGGAAGTCACGTGATATTTCAATAACACCACAGTTTTGGCAATTTCTGATTTCATATATGTTGTCGTCATTACGTGATGGTTTTTCGGATCACTTGACGCCGCCGACGCGGGACACAGGCGGTTAAGTTTGACGTTTGATGAAACTTCTATGGTTTTCGTCTAAAATTAAAGATTCACCGTTGGTGACTTTGGCGTCTCGCGGTGATGACATAACAAGAGCGATGCAAAAGGCATCGTGTAATGGCAGGACGTCATCGGGAAGTCACTAATCACCAGAATGTGTAAGGTCATCATGACGGTTTCGTGATCACATCATCACAAGACATTGTCAATTAGCATTGCCTCTGCGATCAGCCCACCAATCATGGAGGCCGAGCAAAACCAGGTGAGGCGCTGAAAGCTTGAAGTTCCTCCGATCATAGAACCAGTACAAAGCCACTTTAGGTCCCGAAAACTTTCCGATAGGAAGAGATCGGCCAATAAATCGACTGAACAAAAAGAAGATATTTTTGCCTTCAAGTCGTCTTGGGTGAAACACTGGGAGTTTTTATTGCACTCTACGTAGTGTTTATTCCTCACCTATGTTGATTTCGCACCTTTTATGTTTTGTTCCCTGTGTCAAGGCAAATAGTGCTAGTTGTTTTCATTATCATTGATACAAGAGCGACACTCACCGTCAATTTCTCTCACATTGCCAGCTGATGCAAGCGCAGCTGCAGCCTTTTATATGCTTTCCCACACTGAATGAGGCTTTCGCCACTGCTTTAAAGTAACAGCCTCACCATTGACGGCCTTGTATAGCATCAGTTATCAAAGTTTTCTGGCTAACACATACTGTTTCAAGATACTGAGTGCTTATTAGCACCATGAAAACGTTCATGCTGTGATTTATTTCTTTCTGAATACGCCTGTCAGGAGTCTTTCAGACGCTTTGCACATGACCCTTTTGGCAAAGATGACAAGAACCACTGTACGTTTTCAGCAGCCTGGAGGTGCATCTGCATCGAAACGGCTTATTACTAACTTAGCATAATCATAAACTGTAATGAAACAAGGGATCACGGAAGATCAAACAGTAAAGCAGAATATTGCAAAATTATGCACACTATAACGCTCATTTTGTTACATATTTCTTCACATTGTTAACTAGTGAAACCGTTTCCGCATTCAGGTCCAATTTTTTTTAGTTTGTTCAACTAACAGTCGGGAAAACAGCAACTACACCGAAACGGCGTGTTTCACGCTGTTTGAAAACAAATACTGCATGTGAAGCAAAATGTGCAGAGTATTCTCGTTTTCTGTAGTATGATGCTGCGCTGTAATTATGCAATCTCTGCACCCGGCAGCATTCAGTTCATGTCCGCTCTATGGACGTGCTGGCAGCTGGTTTTTAGTTGTCTCAATGTCCCAACTCCAAAGTTTCTCACTCGCAGCATTGCAAACAGACAACAAGTATTGAAATCTACCAGCATAGGGGCTCAATCCTATTTACAAGGGTGGAATTTCGACATTGATCATTATGCGCGAAGTGCCCTGATCTTGCACTGCGTATCGTGTGGAAGCATATCACGACTGATAGTGCCCAACATAAAGTACAAATAATCAAGCTGTATGGTCATGCGGACAAAAAACATATCAGGAAAGTTTTTTCTACTTTGAAATACGATCAACGAAGCGTAGAGGCGCCCCGCCGTGGTGGTCTAGTGGCTAAGGTACTCGGCTACTGACCCGCAAGTCGCGGGATGGAATCCCGGCTGCGGCGGCTGCATTTCCGATGGAGGCAGAAATGTTGTAGGCGCGTGTGCTCAGAATTGGGTGCACGTTAAAGAACCCCAGGTAGTCTAAATTTCCGGAGCCCTCCACTACGGCGTCTCTCATAATCGTATGGTGGTTTTGGGACGTTAAACCCCACATATCAATCAATCAAGCGTAGAGGACTTGCGGCGAAAGCTGAGTAATGTTCCCAACTCAATTAGCCTTTTCGCGGGTTCGTGAGCATTTTCTCGGGTCATTAACAAGTCGAGGATACTTACTTTTTGCTGGCGCCCTGTTGCTTGGGGTGCGTTACTTCTGTGAGTGCAAGTTGAAACAGTGTTATCGCACGCGATATTCCCGGAACGATGCGTTCGCACGCCCACGCGCTGCGGGAAACGAGGTGAGCCAACGCTTCCGCGAGCAGACTACACTCCGCCAGCACCCCGGCTTCCCATAATGCTTTGCAGCTGCCGTAAGTGGCACGTGCTAATAGGTGACCAGTAAAAGAGTGAGCGATTGTGGGATGCGTCGTCTGCTGCCGGCTTTCAGTTCGAGAAGAGCAGACGATGGCGAACCGCTCCGCCTCCAGCCTCAGATTATTCGGGATTCGCGCACGTGGTCGCCCGTTTTACTTCGTCCTGAAACACCATGGTCGGTTGTACAGCCGTTGGCTGCTCCAACTCGAGCATGAAAGGTAAACGCATGTATCGGTTCTCATGAAACTAAGAAAGCAAAATGAGGTGAGCCGCAGCTGAGAAGAGAGCCACAGCGGCAAGTAGACTTTGGGTACCGAACGTTTAAGTCAGAGTGTACCAAGACCGTTTTATCACAGGTACGTATGTATTACGCACTAATAAAAAGCTTACGCATGGATTTGCTGCGATGTTATATGGAGAAATAAACTGTCGCGCAGGCGAACCTAGCACAAATATTATAGAAACGCGCGAGCGACATCTACATGCCATACAAGATGAGTCCCGGCAATTGCACTCATATAGTATATGACACAAAACGCGAAAGGTTCACTCAAAAGTAAGTTTACACCAAGCGCTGGACGAGTTCATTTGCGTTTATCTTGATTAAAATGTGCGCCAGGACGGCAATCAAAGAAAAAAATGCGTTAAACAAGCGCAGGGTTTAGATTATTCGGCGCCGTCTATGTATGACTGTAGTGTTTATGTGCCACCATGCCTCCCAGCTTGATCAAGAGTTGCGTTCCAATAAGCATATAGCTGCGAGTAAGAAATAGGTGGTCGAAATTTCCGGAACCCTCCACTACGGCGTCTCTCATAATCATATGGTGGTTTTGGTATGTTAAACCCCACGTATCATTTATTCAATCAATCACTCGACTAAGAAATGCATCTTATAGCGGGCTGAAGGCTAGAAAAAAAAAAGGATATCTCAACGCGCTCAATAAGTGCTGCACTTCATGCCGATAGACCAACAATGTCGGCCGAAGCAGAGATCACGAAATGAACTCTTAGCACACTGCTATAGTCATCCCGATCCCCTGATATCTTTGAAATGGTGATTTTTATTTGCAGTAACGTATCATACAATGAAAACTGTCTTCTGTATCGAGTGATCTGCTAGTGAAACTGACAGTATACCCCGAGCTACAGAAGAGCATTGCAGATCATTTTAGTGTGGTAAAAAAGTTTTCTTGTCGTTCACAGCTTTCGTAGCCTGTCATCGTCGCAGTGACGATTATCAGAAACAAAAAACCAACTTCTAGAGCACTGACATTGCACAGGAAGATGCTCTTTTCCACAAAGTGGTACAAAAATGCACGCGTGCCGCTGCTAACCCGCATGGTGCGTCGAAGCGGAAGCCATCGTATCCCACAGTTCCTTGCGAATTCCCATATTACCGGTCACCTATTTCAGGACAGGTACATTGTGGAGTGGTTTTGATTTCTGGACGTGTGTGTTTGTTTACCCAACGTTTGAAGATTCGTTGGACTGTGTGAAATTGTGTGCATGCGAGCGTAATTTGAAACGATGAATTGTATGTAGTGATTGTAAAGGAACACCATAAGACAACGTTTAATGGCATCATCTCCAGTCAATAAAGGAAAAAAAAACAAAGCACCGGCGTGGCTCAGTGGTAGAATGTTGGGCTGGCATGCCATGGACCCGAGTCGGAATCCCACTGTGTGTTTGTGTTTTATTATTTACTAAGTTGTTTTCCTATTTTGTGCGATAGTGGTTACGGACACCGGCAGCTGTGCCGGTAGACAATTATGGTGAATGCAACTCTTTTTGTGATTTCATAACATTTTTTGCCGTAAAACAGCCTGAAAGCCCTTTTATACCGCTATAATTCATGCTCATGTACATTAGTAGTGTCATAGGAACGCAACGAATAAATTACGCATTTGCTTAAAATTTCGTCTCTCTAATGAACACTACGGCAATTCATTCGCTTGTGGGCATCACTTGAGGGGTGGCTGAGCTAGTGGATGTACCTTTTCTTACATGTTGTACATTTCATACGGGTTCACCATCGTGTGACCGGTCCGCCAAGCTGGAGCCGTGGCTATGCATGGTGCTCCGCTGCTGACCCAAAGGTCATTGGTTCGATTCTTGTCGCGGCGATCCCTGCCACGGGTATACAGGGCCGTGTGCCGTGCGATGTCAGTGTTCGTTAAAGAAAATCAGGTGGTTAAAATTTACGGAGCGCTCCAGTAAGGCGTCTCTCTCAATCACTGAACGTAAAACCACAGATATTCTTTTGGCCTGCAGAGATCTTGTGTCCGCCGCCGGAACTTCCCGAAGTTAACGGCACTACCAGCCTGGGAGTCAACCTCGGAACTCAGCGTAGTGGCACACGATTTGAATACATCTGCCCACCAAATACTTTACTCGTTGGATCATCTATAAACGTCTGTCAAGAGACTGGTTCCTGGCTCTTCGACCGACCGATATGCACTCGTGAGTATATCGCTCTTCCTTTTTTTTCTTCAATCAGGTGGGCTGTACAGAATATGCACCAGAACTGCGCGTACCGCCATATGCGCGTACCGCCATCTGTTGCAAGCATGGCGAACCAACACCCTCAACTGCCACGCGAGCAGACGCTCTGCAAATCAAACGCGAAACTTCACAACCCGAGTGCGGCTGTATTCCTGTTTCGCGCTGTTCCTGTGCTGGAAATTGATGATGATTTCGTGTGAAACATCGAGGATACTTTTCTCGACAGTCCGGAACGTCTGCAGTACGTGGATTGCAGACTGCGGGAGCAACTTCATCAAGTACGTATTATCCGACTGGAAGAAACACTAACAGCGTTAACTGCGGCGTTCTTTGGCTGTGACAGGGCAGAAATTATGCTGTAAGCCGACGTCAACATAGCGCTAAAATCTGGCTCATATTCACGCTCATGCATCGCATGTGTATCAATTGCTAGTCCTGCCAGGCACTCGGAACCCACAAGCAGTGCAAAAGTGCCAGCCAGAACATGATTCGAAAATGCTACGCTGACGCTGGCCGAAAGCACATGTAGATTCGCCTAGTGACAGTCAAGGCAAGTCGCAGTTCCACCAAGTCGAAGGCCATGCTTCCCGCGCCGTTCACATCTCTTATTACCGTGATAGTAGGCCGTTACAGTTGTACCAAACATGCGCGGCGCGTGCATCAACGCGTGCGTCGTAATACGTATATCCTGTTATTGACATGCGGCTTGCGAAAGAGTACGGCAATAGCTTTGTGCCGCATTCTACAAGCATACTGCACGCAAATCGCTGCTGTAATGTGGAATGGCTGGAGTGGCCCTTGAATGAATGCAATAGGTATACTTACCCCCGTAATCACAAACGCCCCTCGACTCGACTGTCACCATCCACTTGAGAGAGTGGAGTACTGCGCCGCTGCGCGGCTGAAAGTGATGCTACTCTACTCAAGAATCGCCGAAAATTATCGCTGATATGCAGCGACTTTGCCAGCTTAGAGACGGCGCTCCCATCGGCCTTCTCAAGTGAAGGTGAAGCGTTGAGTGGAGGGACGTTCTAGAATTCGGGGGTTACTCATAAACTTCACTGGGCACGTAGATGTTTCTGCTGATTGCGATTAAATCCTATGGGGAAGCAGAGCTCAGCATTTTTCGTTGTGGACGGAAATCTGTGCAATCGCAAAAAACGCACCGGCACAACTCCCGCGATGCGCTGTGAACTGCACAAGCAGTCCTCAGCAATTCCTTCTTCTTGCACTGGTTGTTGTCGCATCAGATGACAGCGCAGTGGCGCCCAGATGACATTTCATAAGCGGGCGCCACGTGAACAGGTGCTTTTTCGCATTTTAAACTCCCACAGCACTGCATGCCAAGCTAGTGAGGCGCGCCGTGGCAGACGCAAACAAATTATGATGTCTCTAGGAGCGAGGGTATACCGCCGGAGGCGCCTGGGTGCGCGATAGGCGTGCTCTCGTCTATAGCCGCTCTCTCTTTCACACATGCATACCCGGAGAAGTATTCAGCTTCGCTGCATCTGGCGTATGTAAGTTCTTATATTAGGTTGTCAAGGCGGAGATTGTTAAATGTAGCGCTAGAAGCTATAATTTTGTACTACTTGCTAAAGCGAGATTGTGAAGAAAAAAAACAATAGTTCTTTTTTATTATACTGCGATATGCGCAAGGAAGTTTGCATGATTTTAGGAAGTCAATACGTTTTAATGTGAATTCGCGGCTCTATCACGAGTTTCTTTACAGCCTCCTCGGGGACCCTGTGTGTTGTGGTGATCCGTCAGTGTGCAAAACTAAACAAATAAACGAAGTAATAATGAAACAAAAAGGAACAGAAGCCGCAATATCTGCGATATTTTAGGGACAAATATTACCTAATACTCATAAAGTATTTCGTTTGCTCTTGGTCAGCCACAATTTTGTGACGATAGGTTTTATCACTGTGAAGAAATATATAAGGTGTTTAAAGACATGTGCCGAAAAATCTTCAAAATAAGGAAAATTAGGCATTTCTATGCTACCGCCGTACTGTTTTTTTTTTTTTTTTGCTGTGGTGTCAGCCACCTAAGTGGAAGCATCAATTATGACTTACCATTATGACTTACCATTACTTTGCATTCTGACAGCAATAATGACTTAGCACTAGAGCAAAATAAGTCTACCTACAAAAAATTTTTGTCCTACCAGTAAATTAACCAAATCGCTGCTGGGTGATGGTAGCGGTCATTTTTTGTCGACTTTCAACATCGATTTATTATTATAATTCCTTTCTGATAGGACAAAAGCATGCTAGTTGCCACCGATGTGATGACCGATCTTCTTATTTGCGCCACAATCATTTTTTTTTCTGAATGGTAGACAGTCCTTTGAACAAACGCTGAACTAGCATCACTGCAATCGCCGCCACGAACAGTTGTCTTTCGGTTCGTCTGCTGGTAGCTCTCGGAGTGTTGGTTTCACCGGTGAATTCTTGTTAAGTTTCATTATTCCGTCATAACTAACAGAGGCCGATGTTTCAAATTCTCAAAGCCACAACACGCTTTTCACAGAAGAGGCTGAATTTTTTTTAACCCGACTGCCTGTCAGCACTCATTAAAAGTTAATTAGGTTAATTTCTTCCGAAACCGTCATTTGTTTTTCTTCTTTTCGAGCTAACGATAAACATGTCACGCTCTCTGTCTCCGTCATGTTTATCGTTCCCTTAAAGAAAAAAAAAGCCGGCATTGCTCCGAATGCTTTCTCGGCTGCTCGGCCTTGGAGTGTAAGAGCCCTCATGGCCAAGGCGCACGCCGCTGCGGAAGCCACAGGGGTCCCGGACTAGGAACGACTTCTAGACTTTGTACAGGGTCAGCCCTAAAGGCCGCCCCTCTCTCCCACTTGTAAATAGTTTAAATGTTTTTCGCCACCACCACTGCCAGTCTCGTATCGCTCTCGCACATGGAGGCCTCTTTATCGTTGTAGTTTTTCAACGGAACCATCCTGGCATCACCTAGCGTTCATCGTAGATAGGTGGCCTTTGATAATTCCTTGCACTTACATTTCAGGCACTAAAACTTCGTACGTTCGGCCGCTATCACGTGGTATTCTTCGATGTTTGCGCACTTAAACAAAGACTGGAAAAACAAGTGCAGTTATCTTACCGCAGATGGAAAATGTTATTATTTTTGGGCAAGCGCTTCAAGAGTTGTGCCGAATGTTTTTCTCTAGAGTCACTACTGAAAAAGTTCATGAAGTATTGTTTGTTAGTTTTTAAGCTTGGTTAATAAAAAAATATTCAGACGTGCTTTATATTCCTCAGAACAATATTTTGCTAACTGGAGACGCGTAGTTCACATAAATAATTTTTATTACTCGGTGCTTCTTTATCTGAAACACCTTGTACACAAACTATATGTTCTTTGGGGTGTTCATTCATGCATTGTAAAAAAAAAAACTTTTCTGACCATCGCTTTGGCAGACAAGCTTTCCATGCGCATGTGTCGTGTTACACTTCTAGTTACAGCGCCATCACATTTAACTTTTGTTTTCATAGCACTCTGATTATCTACTATGGCACCATTCTGCACATATAGTGTAGAGAAAAACGAAGCGCAATAAAAATATGTTGTACATCAGGGATGTTACACCAGCAGAGCAGTTTAAAGGGGCCCTGCAATAATTTTTTCATCATTGAGCTCCGGCTAACGGAACGCGAGAGCAAAACATTTTTGCGCTGCACGCGGCCTGGCATTTATTGATAATTCAATAAGTCAGCTGTGAATCGTCCCCGTTCTCTTTATGTATAATACCACAAATCCGAATTACCGTGCCCCAAAGCCCACAGCCATTGGCTGATTTGATCATCGTGAGCATGGCCTCCAAGATGGTGGGCACGCGGCAGGTTTCACTCCGGCCGACCCAATCGCACGGAGAGTGTGCGTTTCCAGAGGTTGGCGTGACACGCTCTTTTCTCCGCACCACGGCGCGCCTTCTTTCGGTCGAAAAGGCTGCCGCGCTGTTGGCGAATCTTCTATGTGGCGCGAAAAAAATGGCTTTGCATTTTATGCAACTTTGTGTTCGTATGTAAATGTCGGGTCAAGGACTGAGAGAGGCAAAATCAATGCTGTGGTGTTTTATTTTCAAATGGGGTTTTGATTTTGCTGTAGATTACCGCCGCCCATATTAGCGAAGTTAAAGTTGTGATGCCTCTGCAAGAGATCCGCATGTCGTCGAAACTATACTTCGAAGTTCATGGGCTGTATAGCAGGGGGGGGGGGGGACACTGATGAAACAGAAAGAAAAATGGCAGCCCGATCCGCAAGCGAGGTTAGAAAAGTGCCGCGTTCTACGTCTATGGATTACTGTTTACACTGGATGGAATGAATTTTTTTTGCTCTCATTGAACTAGCGCTGGTTTTCATTGCAACGCTGTTTCGATATTTTTCGCAGACGTCCTAATGTAATCACAGCTGCGCCTCGACGTGGTTTTGTTGCTCCTTTGAAGTGTTCTTTTCTTCTTAGGCTGGCACGTCTGCCGTCCAGCCGTGCTCACCACAACTGGTCTCTCCTATGGATAAAGCACGTTCAGTAGGACTTCTCAATGAGGAGCAAAACGCTCTTCGGCGTGCGAGGGATAAAAAAAGAAAATCACAGTATATGCACAGAGTCAATAATAAGTGGGGCGAAGCGTTCGTCCGTCCATCCGCACATTCGTTTGTTCATGCGTCCAGCGACTCCTGTCACACTACCGCACGCATCGGACAGACGTCACTTGTCCTGTTCACTAGGGAGACAATCGCCGGGCTAATTTCAAGGGCTGAAGTATCGGCCACCTGAACTGCACCACGAAAGCATGGACAATTTAGATGTGGACCTAATTGGCATGCCAGTGAACGCCGACTGTGGTCCAAAGAAAAGTCAGAGCCGAGAGTTGATAACAAAATGAATATATTGTAACGGATATAACAACCTCACAACCGGGACGTCCTATTTACAA